GCACAAAGCACATCATGCAAGCTCCACAGACCTCTTCATCAGGCAAAGGATGTTTAAAAATATCATACAGGAGGGAAAAAAAGTGACAGTGTTGGAGTCATAGGTCTATGTTTTGTAACAGATATTGTCTCTGTTGTAGTTCAGTTGATTTAGAGGGATCTCAAGGCAGGCAGAGGCTACTCCCCTCTTGGGCCATATGGGGACCAAGACAGTTTTTATTTTGGGTTTTGTTTTATTTAACAGAAAAACAGGGAAGTCAATGAAACAAGCAATACTTAAATGCTAAAAGATTGGTGGTAGAAACCCTGCAGTAAAGCTGATAATAAAAACAACAAATTAAAAATGCCTGCCAAATGTGGAAATTAATATGAAGACTTCAAGTGGGGGGAAATTCCACAGGTGGGATGCAAATATGAAGACATTTCTGACAGCTGCTGGTCACATTAATGTGGGCAATAGCATGCAGAGAACAGCTGCGTAGGATGATCTTAACAACCAGTTAGGAATTAAATAGAAGATTGACCTATCCGCAGCTATAATCCATGGTCATTTATTGGCAGACTCCAGACTCCTGGGATCTGTAGTCTGGTGAGCTAGTTAGAATACTCTGCTGTAGTTTAGGGGAGGGCCCTAGAGTTCTTCAGTTTAGAATTCTAAGTACAGTGGACCCTTGTTATCCACTGGGTTTTGGTTCCAGGACCCCCTGTGGATAACAAAATCCATGGATGCTCAAGTCCCATTAAATACAATGGCATATTAAAATGGTATCCCTTATAAAAATGGCAAAATCAAACTTTGCTTTTCGGAATTTATATACATATAAAATATTTTCATATCTTGGATGCTTGAATCTGTAGATAAAAAAGTCAGTGGATATGAAGGGCTGACTGTACTTTGCCAAACAACTAATTCCAGGAGTCCACAGAACGGCATCATAACCATTAAAATGGTATTAGATGGCTACAACTGTGTAGTGCAGACACACCCTATATGAGCAATCCCAACAAATGCCCAGTTTGTGATTCAGCATATTTGAACACATGAAATGAGACACTGGAATCTAACGTATTTCTGATGCCATTTACACAACAATCACCATCAGAAAGGAGCAGAGCTTGAAACAATTACTTTTATGGACTACAGCCCCCACCTCCACCCCCAAATATGGCCAGTGGCCATGCTGAGTATGGGGATCTGGGAGCTGTAGTTCTCAAATAATTTTCTGAAGCTCTGCAAAGGAGAAAGTCTGCCTAAATGGAGAGATACTGAATCTAAGGAACCCAAATGAAAAAGAAACTATGGAACATTAGTAATTTTAAAATGGTGATGACAAGAAAAGCACAGTTCATTGCATCAAATGGTTTCCAGTCTAAATATTCATTTGGGTTCCAAGACTGATTTGTACAGAGCTTGCTTTATGTGTGAAATAGCATTTGTCTTAATGTAATGACAACCACTGCAGATCACTTGTGCTTCCAAAGCCTTGAATATTTGTATTTGGAAATGGCTGTACTGCAATGGAAGAACAATGAGAGGGATTTACAAGGAAGTCAAATGTACTGCGTTAGCAGCTGACATCCATTGAGATGAATATGCCTCCTATTTATTGCTGAGCATTTGTTGTAGTGGCAAACAAAACATCTCTTTGTCAAAATGGAAATGGTGGCAGCTCAATGCAGGACTGGATTCTGCCTACCCTACCCCAAGCTAGTTAACTATTTATCCTGCAAGGAGTTTATCACATGGGGAAAACTGGAAGCTTAAATGGGTCAGAACCTGCGGTTATCAGCGTATTAGGCTCAATTGTGCAAAAGGTTTTCATACGACGTTGTGCGCAAGCCGCTTGGAATCCAACAGGAAAGTGTCATGAACCAGCAAATAGGTATTTTCAGGAAAATACCATAAACTCATTTCCATTTCATTAATGAATTTGATTTTTTGTGTGCAATTGCTCAGAAAGCTATTTGCGGGATTCTCCCTGATTCTGTACCTGTTGCTAGATTTTCCATGATTCTCTGGGGTGAGTAGCCAGGGCTCCTAAAGGAACAGTTGCTGAGGCAAAGGCAGGGACACAGAGAAAAAGCTTGCTTCTCCCCTCACCCTTCTCCATTAGCTGGGGCTCTTAAAAGAACACTCTCTCAGGGAAGGCAGGGAGACTAGTTGCTGAGAGGGACACAGTCTTTTATGCTGTTTTTCTACCTTTCCTACTTCTTTGGGTAATGTTTTGTTCATTTTACTTAGGTTGGATACCATTTCTTGAAATGTAAGGGACAGTATAGTATATTTTTATAAATAAAATTGTGTAAAAATTGTTTATTTCTCTGAGTGACTTCTGGTGATGCAGTTACTTTGTCTGTGTGCACGCACAAAAACAGTGATTCCCAAACCATTATCGGGATTTACACACATCTGTGTAAAAACCAAATGTGCATTCTATCCTCTTCCTCGCTTTAGTAATGAGCTTCCAATGCGTCATTGTGTTCTGTGTGCGAAAATCATTCACGCATTGCACACTTTTGCGAGTTGTGGCCGCTTTAATCATTATTGGGATGGAGATACATATGGTCCCTGTGTGATAAAGTCCTAAGTGACATGGTGGCACAATTGAGGGTCTGCTGGTTGCTACAATATGGACAGGAGTCAGATTACTTATTGATCCTGGCTCTGACCCTGTCTCCCTCTGTGGGACCTGAAACACCACCAAATGGGAAATATCAAATGTTACTTAGAACACACTAACCAACGCTGGCTAACAGCTTGCTCCAAACAAGTAAGCAATTTGTGTCTTCACAGCGTTATTCTCTCCAACTGTCCAATACTGTATTTGCAGAAGGCAATAGCACTACAGTCCATACGCAGTCCACATGCTATTTAGAGTTGCATAGCCTTTAGCTAAACATTAAACATTAAAATGTTGATTGATTAACTCAGTCAGATGGGCAGGTATGTGAACAGGGTTCATTTAGGAGGAAAGCCATGCTCCTTTCTGCTTTCCTTCTTTTCTTTTTCTCAGCCTCTACTGTGTACACCACCACAGAATTTTTTGGAAAAGCTAATTCAGTTTCCCCCCTTTATGTCATTTTAATTTTTAAAAAACTATTATTCTCTCAAAGAAGATTAAAATACACATGCTACAACAGTGGCAGTAAAGAGCTTTCCAGAGGAACAACAGCAGTATGTTGAGAATGTATCAAGACAAATCACACATGGAATCATAATTATTTAGTTGTTTCTTTGAATAATTTTAAGAAAGAATGGGAGTTGTTTATCATATACTATCAGTCTCATTGGGGATATGAATCAGCTTTGGGTTTTGTAAAATAAGCAGAGTTTTTAATGTTGTAGATGCATAAATATAGTTTCATATATAAGGTAGTATAGTAATAGTGATATATATCCATCAGTTGGGAGGGGGAGTCAGTAGTGTATGTCTGGTTTTGTTTATTAGTTTAGTTACGTTTGTTTCATTATTGTTGTTTGTTTATACTTGTTTCAGATATATGTATAAAAATTTGTGTAGTTGTGCTGAGATTTAATGAAAATGATTTTTAAAAATAACTGTTGTTTGATTTCTCTTGATTTTGAGGGCCCTTTCACAATATAGTCACCCCTCCACATCCAGCTTGAAAAATATTCCAAAAATATATAAATTCATAAAAGCAAACCATGATTTTGCCATTTTACATAAGGGACACAATTTTACTATGCAGCTGTATATAATGGGACTTAAGCATCCATGAATTTTGGTATCCACGGAGGGTCCTGGAACCAAACTTCAGCTGATACCAAGGATCCACTATATAAAATTAGAGCACTATAACATAATTTTAACTACCATGGCTGCATGGTATGGAATCCTGGGATCTGTAGTCTGGTAAGGTATTAGACTTCTCTGGCAGAGAATTCTAAGTATTCATTTTTAACCTGCAAATCCCATGACTCATAGGACTTAATCACACTGGGGAAATCCTGTGCAGACACGGGGGTTTAAATAGAAAAAAACCAGCAAGAGCAGGTAGATTTTCAGACAATGTCGCTGTTAAAGTGTGGTTAACCCGAACAGAAAGTAGTCAAAAAGCTGCTTCTTTTTAGTTTCAGAAAATCCTGAACCACAACAATTAAAATAAAATCAAAGTGCTATAAATGTAGTATCAAAGGGCCCCAGGATATAAAGTGGCCTTTGAATGTCATAGGACTAAATAATATGCTTGCTGGCATAGTTTTTGGGTTGTGGTTGGGGTGGGATTGCAGTAGGGAGGTAAGATTGCCCCCTTCCAAATCTATGTACAGAAGCAAGTCCATTAGTCGGAGTACACTGTCGAATCCTAGTCATAATACTTAATTAGTACTACAGAATGGTGGCATGAAACATAGAAATATAGTATTGTCCGTTTAATTAAAGTAAATGAAAATTACACAACACATTGCTTCTTACCAACAGATTTAACGCCAGCTTGGTTTTCTGGAAGCAGTCAATGAACTCTGCCTCATTTGGGGGTTTTGCTCTTAAAGTTAGAACTCCCTCTTTAAATAATAAAAAAAACAACAGGAAGAAAGAAATGATTGAAAAACAATTGTCTTCTTGAGGAAACACTTAAAAATGGAACACAGATTTTATGAAAGGTAGTAAAAGCAGCTAAAATAAGAGTTTCTTGCATTCTGCAGTTAATGACAAAACTGAACTGTTTTATTGTGTGTGTGAGTGTGAGGAATGCTTACATCAGGAATGCTCTATATTTTTAGTTGCCAACCCCGTTCCTCAGATACCAGTACTGGAGGTCAGAACCCACAGACTTTTTCCTGAGATGGTCAATATTTACTATAGAAAGTCCAGTTCCTACCATTCCAGCCCATTCTTCCAGCAACCTCTATAGGGGCCCTGAGCTGGTTCTTGCTGGATTCCATGAGACATTGGAAACAGTTTTCCAAAAGCTTGGAAGAAAGCTGAGAGGGGCAGATGTTGCTTTTCTCTCTTAAGGCCCCTTCACACTGCAGAATATTCCTGCATGGTGTAGTGGTTTGAACATTGGACTATGACTCTGGAGACCAGGGTTCGAATCCCAGCTCAGCCATGTAAATCCACTGGGTGACCTTGGGCAAATTACACACTCGCAGCCTCAGGGGATGCCAATGGCAAACCCCCTCTGAAGAAACTTGTCAAGAAAACCCCATGACAGGGTTGTCCTAAGTCTGAAACTACATGAAGGTACATAACAACAAACAACCAACAACATTCCACTTTAACTTTCATGTCCATGTCTATGTCCATGTCCTATGTAATTCTGGGATTTGAAGTTTAGGGAAATCTCAGGAATCAATAGGATGTGAAAGCTGGTGTGGTGTAGTGGTTTTGAGTGTTACGTGTTGTTGGAGTGTTGAGAGTTGACTGGGGACTTGAATCCTGGTCTCCTAGCCCAACACTCAAACCAATACAACATGCTGACTCCTCATTATAACAATATACATCTGAAATAGAAAATAGCTTTGATTCCCCTCTCTTTCAATTGAATTGAGAGCAACATTTAAAAATCTCATGTGGATTAAAATGGGGAGGGGATGAGGGACACAGTGAACTTGCTTTGGGGGCCAAATTCTGGCCTATTGGTTGTCAAATGACTGCCACTTTATCTTTTCCAAGATTCTCCAGAATTTAGAAGAGACTTAAAATTCTGTTGACCTATTTTGAACATGACTAAAGGGTAGAATCCCATCTGCACTTTCAAGAGAGTAAGCGCCACTGGCTGGGAGGGGATCTCCTTTCAACACACATATAGATTCTCCCTCAAAGCCAGAGGTCCAGCCCTTCCTACCTGCTGGCCCTTTCTTCTTGTTCTTCTTTCCTTTCTTCCTTTGGTTCAGCTGTTTGAATGCCTCTGCTGCTTTCTGAAGCTTGGCAACAAACACCTCAATATCATCTAGTGTGCAATTCAGAGTTTGCTGCAAAGAGAGAAATAGAGAAAAATGAATACAGAGTTAGTGGAAGTCATGCAAGTTAATCTCGAAATACATCTTGTTCTTCCTTATCAAGGGCTAAATCAAGTGTGATGTTAGTTGTGTTTATTGTGAATAAAAAGAGCCATGCTGGATGAGATTAAAGGCCTATTTAGTCCAGCATTCTGTTTATACAGTGGCCAACCAATTGTCTATGGGAAGCCCACCCTCCTTTTCACATGCTGATAAGTAAAAGCACTGTTGTTTTTGTTTTATGCATTTCCAAGTAAACTTTGATTTATGGCAACCCTATTTTAGGATTCCTTGGCCAGATTTACTCAGAGAGGGTTTGCCACTGCTTTTCTCTGAAAATGAGTGGGTTTCCATGACCAAGCATGGATTTGAACCCTAGTCTCCCAGAGACC